TTAGATAACAGAATTTAAATGACTTGTTATTGTGAAATTTACATGACTCGTGTTGTGACCTTTCGGTATGCTTACATAAGAATCCTAGACTGTTTAATTATTGTAGTTACATGTGTCACACACCCTTTTATCGTTTAGACCACCATCGTTCATTTTTTACTAGAAATTTAATGGAAACAGGATATCAGATTAGAATTATACCAAAACTGTTGTTATTTTGATAAAGTAAACTCATTGCAGTCATCTCTCTTCTTACTGATGAAGTTCAAATGTCATAACCGACATGTATACGGATCATGAATGGTTTGATCGTTGCTTTGTTGGATCTGCAGGGCAATGATCCGTGATATATTTGCTTTTCTTTTAAAAAGGCACTATTTTGATTTACTTTTACGACTGAATACCTAATAGGTGGCCAGCGGGTTCTCAATTGCTTTTCTCCTCTTACCCCGACCCCATTCCGTTTTCCCCTTCCTCCCTCCCCTAGAGCCGCTACAGGTAGTCTAGTTGTATCTATAGTCTCCTCGCAGCCGTGTTTAGCTTCGGTCACGCTTCACGCAACATCGGAGAGTTTGTTGTATCCTTTTCAGACCCATTTGATTCGACATTGACACAAACTTTAAAATACTAATGGACACAGGTATCCCAAGCTAACCGTTTGAGTGTTTTTTTTTACAATTTTTCTAAATATATAAATTTTAATAAATATAAACATTTCGACCTGTGTGCTGTGTTTTTATGTGAAGTTTCAGGCCATCTGCCTCAATATTGAGTAATACACGATCCTCGCAAACCATCATTGAACCAATGTTCGAGTTCAACAGATTCCAGTAAAACAGCCACCATTCTTCCATGTGGCCAAAAAATGTGCTTTGTACAGAAACTCACGCATGATCAGAGTTTTCCCTTTCATCTCTCTATTTTGGCGACAATAGCTGATTTGTATTCTTGTTCTTGTTTTGAAATTCGCWCTTRAAAAACTGGTGACGTCAAAACCATGTTTCATACTGTTATGAAAACACAGTACTCGACCAATCAGAACGYGCGTAGTATTTAAGTTAGTATATAAATTTTAATAATTTGTTCATCTATCTGATCATATATTGAGCAAAGATATTCATATTGASCAAGAAGTTTGTCCACAATGTCGCGGGTTGTGTTATGTCATGTAGTGTARTTTCCAAGTCAGTTACAGGAGGTATAATTATTATTGTTTTAGGTTCTTCTGGTTGATATTGCAATTTATTATACAATGGYAAAAGCGCTTTCCCTTATCCTTGTTGTAATAACGCTGACTGGTTGCATCGCGGGAGGGCCTTGCCCGCCGGAGACCCAGTGTTTCGGACATGGGGACTGGACAGCAGCAACAGAGACCTGTAAATGCTACTCAAATTCCTACAATAAACAGTGGGAGAGTCGCTATGGTTCGTATACTGGCTCGTGCTGTACTAGTATAGAATGCTCCAACCCGAACTCAACATGTGCACATGGAGTGTGTTCAGATGGCATYAACTGYRAACGATGTCAAACTGACTGGACAGGAAAAAACTGTGATAATGYCACATCGTGTTTCCCTTGGCTGCCTTGTAAACATGGCAAGTGTGTCAAATCGAGGTATAAMTGGATAATTACTGGATMGATTTCGTTCTTCCAGGCCGAGTAGACAGCGAAACTTTTACCCACAACCATCGCTTGMAACACACCCAAGACATCCTTAMAACATGGCTACAACTGTCGTCGTAGGGCTATTAAACAATTATGTTGAACGGCAGTTGTAGACATGTTGTAAAGACAGGCAGGTTGCATGCGATGGCTTAAGGCAAAATATTYTTTTTATAATCCCGCTCCTATTTATGGTACGTTTAAGTCATCATTATTTGTACTAAATTAAGCAAGATGAACACCAGTACACCATGTATTCACCATGCATGCAGACAAACAAACATTTGTATTCATTTACTAGAAAAGGGATTATTCAAAAGACAAGAATGGTTTTGCTTGTCTTGGTATTCCACGTGAATCATTTGAAATATTCTCAAGATAAAAGAAGGACAAAGCTATAGGGAGTGCGTGGTGCTTAAGTTATCAATTTGTTGTATTTCAGGTTCAAGTGTGAGTGCGACCCTGGATGGGTGGGTGACCTGTGTGATCGCTCTCTTTGTGATGCTTCCATCAAATGTGTGTATGGCGCATGCCCAAATGATCCTAAGAAATGTGAATGTTATGAAGACTTCTATAGCCCYGAGACAGGATGTGACCGGTAAAGAATTGCCTTCACAGCGCTAGATTCTTTTCAAACTCATRTATTTTTACAATAACATATAGTACAGACTGTGATTGTTAACAAAGGAAACCAGCCTAATAGCAAACATTCACTTTTTTTCTCTTGCTTTCGTATTGTTTAAATTTTCTATGGCTTTGAATCTGCATTCCATAATAACTATAGATCTTTACACAATCCATAACCAATTCCTGTGCATTTCTCTTAGTTTGTGTCGCGTCTGTTTCAATTGTAATGAATATTTGTCACTATAAATATCGCATTTTTGTTATTTTATTTCACGGAATAAGTGCTAAATATCAACTACTCTATGTATTGGTATATTTATAGTTAGCTCTCAAAATGACATGTTATGTTATTACTATCCCAGGATGCATTGTGCTACTGGATGGGAGTGTTTAAATGGAGGTTACTGYATTGAACTGCATCACTGTGTCTGTCCGGCCAATTACACAGGTAAGAGCGTTCTTATTCTTGACGAAAAACAAACTGTGAAATGGGTGATTTTGGACAATGCATTAATCACGAGGTACACGTTTCAACATTGACTCTGCCTGCGACCATTACWTTTCACATCGAAAGAATTAATTCAAGCTTTTTAAAGTTTCGAGCTTAGTCAAGCAGTTTATTTGACTTTTCTAGTCAGTGCTATAAAAGTGCTTCCCTAATTTCAAGTGAAACCCTGCGTAAGTCAAATAAATGACTACTTTATACAATCTCTTAACCATCTTTATTTGTTTTGGAGTCATCCCAAAGTARAATAAAATTTGGCTCAGAAGAAGAAAGAACAAAAGATCAAAGTAAATGACGGCATTTCCAAGGTCTTTTGACAAAATACTGTGCTACTTGTTAAAATTCGTTGCTTTGTTTACAAGAATTCCATACTTTTTTCCAATTTTTGCCKTTTTTCATCGTAGAACAATTTTGTAAAGAAAGATCCACTCATAGGGCTTTCTCGATATATTTTCATCGATAGTTTAAAAGTATTTTTACGCGACTAAAATCACTCTAATCTCCATTGATTACACGTTTTGTCGTCGTCTTTGGGTGGGACAGGAAGCTTGTCCTGCGAGGAAAACTCTCGTCTTGAGGTTGTTATGTAAGACTATCGATACTGATTGTGATGGACTATGGTAGACTAATGGAGCAAGGAAGGTTTTCTAATGTCCCTTACTCTCTTACAGGAGAACACTGTGAAACCATCGCTGAATGCAGTGTCCCATGTGAGCATGGACGRTGCAACACCAAACCCAATGTCTGTGAATGCGAGCATAGTTGGACGGGASCAAAATGTGATACATATATTGGGACGTGCAACAATTGCTCGTCTGTGGGGGGGACGTGTAAGGACGGTCCCGATACCTGTGTATGTAAACCCGATTACACGGGTCCTCAGTGTTCCGTCAAGAAGTGTGATGGCTGTCAACATGGTGCCTGTAAGATATCCAATAATCTGAAATTTTGTGTATGCGATAAAGGTAACTTCTTTAAGAAGTGAAATGAWTTGATAAATATGTTATGTGACCATCAATGGTTCAGTTTTCCTTCCTAAAATGACTCACACATCATTTAATCATCAACCAATCCCATAATCCATTGAGTTCTCATCCACCCGTCTCTTCGATTCGTTCGCCATATCACCTGACTACAGCCAAATATGGTAGTTGTATCACAATAGGCAATGAGTGAATAAAACGAAGCTGTAATAACAAAGGTTCCTATTCTAATCTATCCGGTGAATTGTCATAGGATGGTTGAACACCCCAGGCCCTGCAGGATTTGTACCCAATGCTGGTCCGTGTACACGAGTACAGTACTGTCTAGTCCCTTGTATCCCTGGCCAAGGATCATGTCCTACTAACCCTTACAAGTAAGTACACCATCCAGTAAAACAAACATTGAACATGTATTAGAATAAAGCTTCTTTGTTCATGTATTGAATGCAATATTGACGTAGGTGCGAGTGTAATAGTCCATATTTAGGAGCCGAGTGTGACGTCGTCAATTGTTCATTGAATGCAATATTGACGTAGTAGCGAGTGTAATAGTCCATATTTAGGAGCCGAGTGTGACGTCGTCCATTGTTTATTGTATTTTATTGACGTAGGTGCGAGTGTACTAGTCCATATGTAGGAGCCGAGTGTGACGTCGTCCATTGTTCATTGTATTTTATTGACGTAGGTGCGAGTGTAATGGTCCATATTTAGGAGCGGAGTGTGACGTCGTCCATTGTTCATTGTATTTTATTGACGTAGGTGCAAGTGTAATAGTCCATATGTAGGAGCCGAGTGTGACGTCGTCCATTGTTCATTGTATTTTATTGACGTAGGTGCGAGTGTAATAGTCCATAT